GATTACATATTATTCACACAATGGCAGTAAATTATTCATAATTTGGTTTGCTGGTATGCTCTATTTCTTATTTATTCCTTTTTAATTGGAAAGTCTTCCTTTGCATCATCCCACAACCCATTCATGAACCCCAGCTTGGGAAACCCTGGCATAATGCAATATTTAGTACACTTCATGATGTTGAATGTAATAAATATTAAAAGTAATAACAAACATTTACCGAAAGAGAATTCAGTTAAAAATTTAACAAAAAGGTGCAAATTTGAACCTTTGTAACAAATTCAGAGCTTGTTCCGTTCTTTCCCCTCAGTTTAGTAACAATCATCTTATGTAATTGTCTCCTAAGAAAGGCATCTGCTCTTGGTGGGGTGATCCTAAAATGGCTTCCTTAGTAATCATTCAGACTAATCAATGAAAAAAAAAACATTTGCTCAACCCTAGTTCATACACACACTAGTTGTTCCATTAAGTTTCTTGTGAACTACTGGCATATGTTCAGTGCAGACGGTCTTTCCTTACTTCTCACCATTTATCTCCTCTCACAGAACTTCTTTCCAGAGCAGATGGTAGCGTGGTGTCAGGAAACGAATGGCTCTATCCCACAGTCACAGCTCTTACAGGTGAGGAAAACATGCAAATTGATCTGTGACATGACAAAATCTGGATTAGCCCACATTATGAACCTGTACGTCACTCTTGCATGACTGTTGCAGCTGAATTAGGATTTTAGTGGATTCAAACAGCTTTTGAAATGCATTCTTATGTCTTGTGATAGCAAAGAGGCCGCGTTATTGAAGCATGAAAGGCATCCAGGTTTGAAGAGCCCATTTTCCAGATGGTCCTCTGCTTTTTTCCCCCTCCTGCACAGAATTTCTTGAATTCCAGCAGCTGTCCAGAGATCCAGGGCTTCCTTTATATGAAAGAGATGGGCCGCAAGTCCTGGAAGAAGCTCTACATGTTCTTGCGCCGTTCTGGGCTGTACTACTCTACTAAAGGAATGTCTAAGGCAAGCTTCTCTTTAATATTAGAATATGAATTCAAGTCTTTGAATTTCATATGTATTTATGAACATATCAATGATTTTACAAGTTTTGACAGCTCTTATGTGTCTGTTATGCCTAAACTTTCTTGCAAATAAATACAGTGCGGTCCAAAAGTCCATGTTGAAAGACTGGGATTCATAATATAACTGGAAATACATTTTTGTGATTTAATTTTGATTTAAAGATTACTAGGTCATTAACATATTCATGTGAAATAAATATTTAATGAATTGTTATTTAATTGTTATTGTAATGTTATAAGGACATTAGTTGTAATTTTATCATTATTAATAAATTATTATTATTATTATTATTAAAAATAGATATGCTTATTTATTTATATTTGTTAATTTTTCCATTGAACTTTTAATTTTCTTTAGAATTTCAAATAAATATTGAATGAATTGTTATATAATTGTTATTGTAATGTTATAAGGACATTAGTTGTAATTGTATCATTATTAATAAATTATTAATATTATTATTACAAATAGATATAAATAAACAAATAAGCATATTTGTTAATTTTTCCATTGAACTTTTTATTTTCTTTAGAATTTCAAATGAATATTTAATGAATTGTTGTATAATTTTTATTGTAATGTTATAAGGACATTAGTTGTAATTTTATCATAATTAATTATTATTAAAAATAGATATAAATAAACAAATCAGTATATTTATGTAATTTTTTCCATTGAACTTGTAATTTTCTCAATTTGTTATGCGAATAATTCAAATTGTAATAAAAAATGCATCAAATTAGTTTAGAATAATGGCAAATTGAATTTTCACTACAAATTAAATGCTAAATAGACTTTTTACTAGTGGTCTCAGACTTTTGGACCATGTTGTATTTTATTTTAATAAAGAATTTCAGGATAACTGTTTCACTGTTCATAACAGTCATTATGTAGGTCTGTCTTTGGGAGCTGTATTGTGATGAATTTTTAATTGGGTTGTTTAGGAGCCAAGGCACCTGCAGTTACTGTCGGACTTAGAGGAGAGCAATGTTTTCACTGTGACGACAGGCAGAAAGATGCACAACGCGCCCACAGACTACCAATTCTGCATTAAGGTGAGCAGGATGACGGTCAGTAAATGAACAAAATCATTGACATTGAAATTAGAGGAGGCATGGATGGCACAATTTCCAAATCAATGATTTTCCCCCTTTAAATAACTACCCATGCCTCTCCTGGTACAGTGCATGCTAGTCATTATTAACTTGAGCGCCTTGATTTGACAGTAGATATATTGCTTGATTGACAGCCCAGTAAGGGCAGGACAGAACAGAAGGTGTTGAAGATGCTGTGTGCCGAGGACGAGCAGAGCCGTACGTGCTGGATGACTGCTTTCAGACTGCTCAAGGTATACAGTAAAAACAGAAAAAATTACATATTATTACAATTTAAATAACTTGTTTCTGTTTTAATATATTTTAAAATCCAATTTATTCCTATGATAGTAAAGCTGAATTTTCAGCAGCCAATAATCAAGTCTAGTCATAGACGAATTATAAAATACCTTTAGTACCATGTCAAAAAATCAGCATTCTCTGATGAAGAAAAAAGTTAATTCATTTATTTGAAATAGATTGTTTTGTAATATTATAAATGTCTTTACTGTCAGTTTTGGACAATTTAATGCATCCTGGCTTATATTACGGACTCAAACCTTTGAACGGTAGTGTACTAGACCAGTGATTCCCAACCTTTTTTTAGTCGCGGCAC